GGGGCAGGCTAGTGTGGGTGGTTAAGGGCGACGTTGTTCAAGTGTCACCAAGAAAGCTAAAATGAAGTGACTCTCTAATCGTTTGTGACCCAGTGAGAGAAAATTACAGTGAATAGGGTACATTATTAACGAGAAATTGAGGTGGTTATGCCAGGACGTCTCATCGAGCTGGAAATTACAGGCTGCTACAGCTGCATTGCATAGTACTAGTATCCACCTATGAGTTTGGTTTGGTTTGGGTGTGGGGTTCAGGTTCCAATTTATTTAACCGCCAAGGGATATGTGTAAATGGTCCAAACTATCTAGCACGATAAAGAAGAGTAGCACTCAAGTTTTCTATAAGGAATAGGCAAATTGGTAATCCATGGAACAAGGCGATTAGCTTAATATAGCTATGGGGTGGCAGGTCAGCATAGGGCATACTTTGTAAGTAGGTGTGCATCAAGTCCCAGAGGGTGGGAGTCAGGTCACAAGAGGTTGCACTGTTCACAAGCAACACTGAGAATCCCAACCAATACACTCCAAGACAGCCATCCTACTTTTCAGAACATAATAAACTCAACATAATTTGAACATAATACACCACACACATGCACACACACACAGACACTCAGCAGGAGTAAGACAAAGAGATGGAGAGGGGTGGGTGGATTGCATTTTCTTGGACTGGCAAGAAGGCGTTTGGACACAGTTCCACACACAGGATTGGTGCTGACCAAAAACTGGAGGACCAAGCAGGGATAAACAGGGAAGCACTACAATGGATCTGGGAATATTGTCAGGATGACGCAGCGAGTCATGGTACGTGGCGAGGTGGTGAGAGTGGGCCACCTGTGTCCCAGCGGGGGTCCCGCAGGGGTCAATCCTAGGACCAGTGCTGTCTGGTATTGTGAACGAATGACGAAGGAATAGGACTCTGAGGCTGTCATGTTTGCTGATGACGTGAAGTTGTTGAGTAGCACATTCACTCGATCGAATAGACCAGGGCGTAACTACAAAGGGAGAATCTGGACAGGCTGCAGACCTGGTCAGAATTGGCCTCCTGGAGTTCAATACCACCATGTGCAAAGTCGATGAAGATTGTGGGAAGGGCAAAGAAGGCAGCAAACGGAAGGAGATAGTACAGTCTAGGGGGTCAGGAGACTACAAACCTCACTCAAGGAAAAAGATTGTGGGGAGAGTAACACCAGGCAATCTCCTGAAGAGCGCCACATAAACCAAATAACTGCTGAGCATATGGGCGCCTTGCAAAACCTCAGAACAGCATTCCGAATCTTAATAAGAATCATTCAGGACCCTGTACTCCGTGTTTGTTAGGCCCATATTGGGAGTATGTGGCACAGTTTGGATACCACTCGCTATGCCAAGCACGTGAAGAATAACTAGAGATAAATGCAAAGGTTTGCAACAAGGACTCGTTCCAGAGCAAAGTGGTTGTCACCTACGAGGAGAGGTTAGGGAAATCAACATGACGACACTGGGAGGACAGGGAGAAAGGGGGGGACATGATAACGACATACAAAATACTGAGAGGAATTGACAAGTGGACAAAGACAGGAATGTTATTGTTTGGCAACAGTAACAATGGGGACACAGTTGGAAGCTGGAAGACACAGATGAATCACAGGATGGTTAGGAAGTATATCTCAAGCCACAGAGTAGTCAGTAAGTGAATAGTTTGGAAGCGATGTGTGGATTTGGGCATGGATACATTCATAGCTTAAAGCAGAGGTATGATAAAGTGTCACGGTAAGGAGTGTGACCTAGTAGCGATCAGTGAAGAGGGCGGGGGCCAGGAGCTCGGACTCGACCCCCGCAACCTAATAGGTGAGTAAACTAGTGAGTCTCACACACATCACACACACAACCACCTTACCCCCCTTACTAATCCCTCCCTCACACAACACACACCACACACACAACACTCTACACATTAAGCACTCTCACACACACACAACCACACACACACTCACACACTCACACACACAAACACTACACTCACACGTACTCATATTCACTGGGCATACTAGTTTTTTTGTGTTGTCTAAATTTTAATCGGATGTGCCTTTGGGTCAAAATGGTATCTTAATCCACACCCACCACCCACACAAAACAACACACACACACACACACACCACACACACACACACACATCAGTGATATACACAAATAAGTTATTAATTAGCAAAAATAAATAAAGTAAAGGCGACGATTGGAGTAGGAAAGCCTTGAACATTATACAACAAATAATTTCAAACGTGCAGTTTCGTTGCGGCCTAAGTTTTGAGCTCCTGTTTTTTGCCACTCAAGTGTTTACACATATACCCAAAAGTACAATAAGATATTGTTATAATATAGATGACTAAAGAGAAAAACGACCATAAAAGTAATATTTAAATGAGTTGAGGTGTGGCTAACTCGAAAATAATGTGATAGTAGCACAACATAGATGATGCAGTAACAAGTTTTCGTAGCGCCAGAAGAAGGTGCTATATAATTGAATATAGCATTAACATTATACATAAATATATTCTAGGACAGAGGTGGTGGCAGCATGTAGGCCTGAGGGAGTTGTTGAGCGCCATAAAGTTTGGGTCAATGTCATTATGGAGCTATCACAGCTTATAAGTTAGTGTGTACTTACCAGAAGTGAAGTGTAAATCATAAAAGTAGAGTATACATGTGATAAGTGTGGTAAATAGAGGGACTCATAAAGGGCAAGAGGATAGAAAATCGAATAGCTTACCGAAGTTAGAATAAAGTCAGTGGCGGTAGGACGTGTTGGTCAAGTGTTCATCCGGTTACAGCAAGCATCGCTACAGCGAGCATCGTACAGTTCAGGCAGCTGGATGGGTTCGTTCCATTGTGAAAACTGTAAGTAGAACGTACAACATATCACCTGTTTATGTGGGTGGGGGGAAAGTTCTTGTCAGTGAATGAGAGCCGGCCCAGCGGTCACTGGTAACTCAGATATTATTCCTTTGCGCCATGAGCGATTTTATCATACACACTTCCTACACTAGCGTAGTTGGAAGTTAATCTTGTGTTAGGAGGTTAGGCTTTATGCTGGAGGATTAAGTCGTTGGCTAATGGATTCTGCCCTGACATCAGTTTCGAGAGATAAGGTTATAAGGATCATAAGGACAGTACTATCTTGTGATGCAAGTATTGGGTTCACGGTAGTATGTGGTAGTTCTTTTCTGGGGAATGAGATGGTCGGGTGTTTCTACTCGAGTGGATTATATTGACTGTTGTCCTTATCATAAACCTGTGTTATGGGGAGCAGCTGGTGTATTTCGGTTACTCTGAAGTGAATTGGTTTGCTAGGGTTACTTAGGATACATATCTGTCGTGAGCTATAACTAACTCTCTGGAGCCGCTCACACCTCTATATTGGGTTCGGACTAAATCCGCTGTAATGTGCGCACGGGGTTGTGTGTAAGACGCCAACTCTGTCCGGGTGGTGAAAGAGCAGAGTAGGTATAGGAGAGAAAGCAGAGGTGAGGGGGGTAAAAGAGGGGAAGAGGTGAAGTTAGATAGATAGCGAGGTGAAGAGCTTGGACGAGAGTAGAGAGAGGAGTAGAGTAGAGAGAGAGAGAGGAAGTCGAGGCGATGAGCGAGGGAGAGCGCGAAGAGAGAGAGAATGTAAAGAGAGACAAGAGAACGCGAGGGAAAGAGAGAGAGAGAGGGAGAGAGAGAGAGTGAGACTGAAGAAATAGAGAAAAGGAATGGGAAGAAAAGAGAGTTGTGGTTGAGAGAGACGAGAGAGAGAGAGAGAGAGAGAGAGAGGAGAGAGAGAGCAAACAGTAAAAAATGAGAGGAAGAGAAAGTAGAGAGATGAGAGAGAGAGAGCGAGAGTAGAGAGAGAGAGAGGAGAGCGAGATGAGGAAGACGAGCGATAATGCAACGAGAGACGAGCAGAGAGAGAGCGAGAGGTAGAGAGCGAGGCGAGAGCGACGAGAGAGCAGAGAGGAAAGACAGAAGAGAAAGAGGGAGCACGAGAGAAAGAGAGAGGAGGAGAGAGAGAGGGAGAGAGAGAGCGAGAGAGAGAGAGAGAGCGGAGAGAGAGTAGAGCGAGAGCACACAGAGCGAGAGCGAGAGAGAGCGAGAGAGAGGAAGAGAGAAAGAGAGAGAGAGAGAGAGAGAGGAGAGCGGAGAGAGAGAGCGAGAGACGCGAGGAGAGAGAGAGAGAGGCGAGAGAGAGAGAGAAAAGAGAGACAGAGAGAGAAAGAGAGACGAGCAAGAGAAGAGAGAATGCGGAGAGAAGCAAGAGAGAGAGCGCAGAAAGAAGGAGGAGAGAGAGAGAAACGAGAAAAAAGGAAAGAGAGAGAGGAAAGAGAGAGAGATAAGGAGAGAACGAGGAAGAGAGAGAGAAAGAGAGCAGAGTAAAGAGAGAGAGAAAGAGAGAGGAGAAAGAGAGAGAGAAGGAGAGAGTGCGAGAGAGAGCGCAAGAGAGGGAGAAAGAGAGAGAAAAGTGAGAGAGAAAGAGGAGAGAGAAAGGAGAGAAAAGAGAAAGAAGAGACAGGAGAGAGAAAAAGAGAGAAAAGAGAGAGAAAAAGTAGAGAAAGAAGGATAGAAAGAGGAGAGAGAAACGAGCGAGAGAAAGAAGAGCGAGAAAGAGGAGTGAAAAGAGAGCGGAAGGAGAAGAGACAGAAGGAGAAACGAGTAGACGAACGAAAGAAAGAACGAGAGAGAGCGAAAGAGGAGAGCAAGATGAGAGAGACAGAGAGAGAGAAAGCGAGGGGAGAAAGAGAGAGAACAGTGAGAGATAAAGGGAGAGAAACGAGATAAAAGAAAAAGGAGAGAGACAAAAGAGTAGGAGAACAGAAAAGAGCAAGAGACGAGCGAACAGCAGCGAGCAAGAGAGAGAGAAAGAGAGCGAGAAAGAGACGAGAGAAAGCAGGAGAAGCAAGAGGAGGAGAAAGAGAGAGAAAGATGGAGGGTAGTAAAGAGTAGAGAAAAGAGAGAAGAAGAGAAAGAGCGAAAGCGGAGAGAAGAGGGCAAGAGAGAGAAAGAGAGAGAGAATTGAGATTGAGAGAAAGAGAGAGAGCGAAGAAGGCGAGCAAGAGAGCGAGAAATAGAGAGAGAAAGAGCGAGAGAGAAAGGAGCAGCAGGAAAGAGAGAAAGAGAGAGGAGAGACGAGCGACGCGAGAGCCAGCGCTACCTCGAGCGGAAGAGCGCGCGGCAACAGAGAGAGAGCGAGCCACGACTCGACGTCCCGTCGCTCGACAGCAACGCTGCGATGACTCTCGCGACGCTCACTCTCTCTCTCCCGCCTTCCTCTCCCCTCTCTCTCTCCCTCTCTCTAACCCCCTCTCTTCTCCCTCTCCCCCTCCTCTCTTCCCTCTATCTTCCCTCTCTATTCCCTCTCTAGCTCCATTCTCTTCTAATCTTCTCCTCTCTTTTCTCCATCTCTCTCTCCCTCTCCTCTCTCCCTGTCTCTCTCTCCATCTCTCTCTCCTCTCTTCTCCCTTCTCTCTCCCCCTCTCTCCCTCTCTATGCCCTCTCTCTCTCCCTCTCTCTCTCTCTCTCTTCTCTCTCTCCTCTTCTCTCTCTTTCCTCTCTCTCTCCCTCTCTCTCTCTCTCTCTCTTCTCTCTCTCCTCTCTCTCTCCCTTCTCTCTCTCTCCTCACTCCCATATACCCAATCTCTCACCCTGCCTCTCTTCTATAGGTTCTCTCCTCCAATCTCTCCATTTCTCTCTTATTAGCCTTTTCCTCTCACCCTCCCCTTTTTTTTTTTTTTTCCCTCTCTCTAACTCTGTTCTCTCCCCTCTCCTTCTCCCTCTCTTTCTCCTCTTCTACTCCCTTTCTCTGCCCCTCACATTTCTCTCTCTCCCCTTGCGGTCTTATCCCTAACCCATATCCTCTCTCGCTCCCTCTTTTCTACCCCTTTCTCTCTCCTCTCTCTCCCTCTTTCTACCCTTTCTCTCTCCCCCCACACCAGAGATCTGGAAGACGAACCAGGGAGGAAAGACTGGGAGTTTTGAGCTCCAAAAAGGAGGGTAGAGTGGGGAAGAAAGATAGTAGAGCTTGGTAAGAAAATGGAGGAGCGGATAGCTGAAGAGTGCAGGAAGTGGGAAGTACAGGTCTTAGCAGCAGAAGCTAGGATACAGTGTCTTAGAAGAGAAACGCAACTTGAAACTGATTAGAGAGAAAATGACAATTCAGATGTGGACATCAAGATATTCAAAGTCAGGCGCAGAAAAGGGGTTGGTAAGCAACAACGGAGTCATTACGTAACGAAGGCCCTATCAGACCCACGTGGAGCAAGGGATAAGACGATGAGCACACTAAGATCAAACGGGACAGGTCCGAAGACAATTGAAGGTATGCTATATGCAGAGTATTCAACGCCAACTGCAGTAGCAAGGAGACAGGCTGGTCAGGAAAAGACAGTTTCATGAGAATTGATGTTTCGGATATGACAGGACTGAAAGGCAAAGAACATTATCAATGGAAGGAAATAAAATGCCTCGAGGATGCAGATGGAGACTCAGTGGGTGGAGGAAAGGGCCCGAGGTCAGTTTTGTGTACGGGCTCAAGAAGCCAAGGGGGCCCAACTTTTTGAAGATATATAAAACAGGAGGAGAATAAAATATGATTGAAGGCATATGAAAAACATGATAGCGGGAGGGCAACAATATGGACCCAGGTCGCTCTCAAATTTTCAGAGAGAATAGGGTTGGTTTTCGAGTGGATGGTACGGCCCTGTCAGGTTAACTTTCAAGAAGAAATCCAGTTCGAACCAGGATTCTTGCCAAGAGAGAAGCAAGGATGAGGGACAAGTGGACGGTACCAGGAGAGATATATCTCGGACCGCCGACAGAGAACACGACGAAGAAAGGACTACACTGAAAGAGAGGGTAAGTGACGCAAAGGAGGAATCGAGAAGAATGAAAATGAGCAGGACACAGACACAGGCTGAGGATGGGCAAACACACCCCACAGAATCTCCACCTAAAGGACTCCAACCCGCGTCATTCCCAACGCAATGAGAACCTATTAAAACAAACTCACTGTTACCTCTGCACATCCAACCCCCATATCACTATACCTCACCGACAGCTGTCCCTTATGGGCATTCTGAACCCCACACCCATCAACACGACCCACCTACACCACAGCACAATATTGGCCCCACCAAAGGCTCTCGCCTCCCCAAACCCCAATTATTCTTGCATGACCACAATGATAGAACGAAACTATAGGTTTGGTACACAAACGCGGATGGAATATAACGAATAAACATGAGGAGTGGAATAAAGAATCAGTGGAAACAATCCCAGGACATCATAGCTGTACAGAAACAAAACTCCTGAGAACATATACTGACAACTATCTTCCAAAGGATACCATGATACTTGAGGAAAGATAGAAGGAGTAGAGGGCGGAGGAGGGGTTTGCACTGCTCATATAACACCGATGGGATTTGAGAAATGGAAGTCATGGACATGATTGGTAGAAAGAGACTACATTGTAGGTACAATTCAGTCGGAGACCATTATTAGTTGTCATTGGAGTGTGTATAACCCCTCCAAATCTGCAGGAGGCCAAGAGAGGGAGAACGAAGAAAACAACTGGGTGTTGGTGGACACCACTGGTGAGGTGGCAAGATGGCTCACTCGAGCAGAGCAAAGTTACTGGGAATGGCGCGATTTAACCACAGGGAGATCGACTGGGAAATACAGGAGCCACATGAGGGGTCCGAAACATGGAGAGCAAGATGTTGGATGTGGTACTGGGATAACCTCACTGCAATCAACATGTCAGGACACAACCATGAGATAGAGGGGAGAGGTTGAGCCAGGGCAAGACTGGATCTTGTGTTACCCCTGAGCAGTTCAGACATTGGGAATATCACTTTACGAGAGGCCCCTTGGAGCTAGCGATCATTGTGGTTCTTGTTTTGACTACTATTATAGTAGAGTTTTCAAGTGGAGAAGGTAACAGGTGCTGAAGGGACAGGCCAAACTATAAAAGGGGGGTAACTACACAGTATGAGAAACTTCCTGCTGGAAGGTTCTCAGTGGGGCAGAGAATGAATTGGTAGGAAATCAGTAAACGAGATGATGGGAATTTGGCAACAAAGTGCAAGGAGGCAGACGGAAAGTTTTGTTCCAAGGGAAACAGAAATTAATAGGAAGACCAAACGAGTATTTGGTTTACCCGAAGGTGTAGCGAGGGCTAAAAACTAAGTGCAACAAGAGAATGGAAAAGGTACAGGAAGGCATTGGACCACCAGGAAATACAAGGGAGATTCGTAGAAGAGCCAGAAAAGGAAACGAATTTGCACAGATAAGGTGGAGGGCCCAGCGACAGTATGAAAACGACATAGCATCAAAAGTCAAATCTGACCCGGGAAAACTGCGTGTATAGGCAACATTAGGAGGACGTCAACAGTCAAGGACCCGGTGATAAAGGCTGAGAAATGAAGGTGGAGAACTCACAAGAATCGATCAAGAGGTAATGTGAGGAGCTCAACACGAGATTTAGGAAGTCTTTACAGTTGAGACAGGAAGGACTTGGTGGGGCGACAGACCAGATGGGGGACACCTCTGGATACACCAACAAGTGTTGGAGAAACATACAGATGAGGTGGAGGTGTAGTAATGCTAAAGGACATCGATACCTCAAAGGCCAATGGGGACCCGGACAAACATCGCCCATGGGTCCTTAGAGACGGAGCAGATATGTGGTGCGTGCCACTTACACAATCTTCAACCATCCTGGAACGGGCAAACTAATGAGGTATGGAAGACGGCAAATGTAGTTCCCATTTAAAAATGGAGACTGAAAAGAGGCACTAACTATTAGACTGTGTCATTGACGTGTATTAGTATGCAATATTATGGAGAAGATTATCTGGAGGAGAGTGGTGGTGCACCTGGAACGGAACAGGAGTATTAAATGGCCAACCAGTCACGGATTACGGAAGGAAATCCTGTGCACAAACTATGGGTTTTATGAAAAAATAAACAGAAGTAAGACAGAGAGAGAGGGGTGGGTTGATTGCATCTTCTTGGACTGCAAGAAGGCCTTTGAACCACAGTTCATCACAAGAAGATTAGTGCAGAAGGCTAGGGGCTCAGGCGCATATAACAGGAAGGGCAATGCAATGGATCAGAAGATTACCTGACAGGGAGGCAACAACGAGTCATGGTACGTATTGATGTATCACAGGGGCACCGGTGACGAGCGGGGGGGGTCCCACAGGGGTCGGTCTCATAGGACAGTGCTATTTTGGTATATGTGAACGACACGCAGTCGGAAGGGTTTTGACTCAGAAGTGTCCCTGTATGCAGTTATGTGAAGTTAATGAGGGAATTTAGATTGATGAGGACCAGGCAGCACTTCAAAGAGACTAGACAGACTGGACAAACCTGGTCCAGCAAATGGCTTCTCGAATTTAATCTGCCAAATGCAACGTCATGTGATAGGGGAAGGGCTCACAGAAGACACGACAGAGTATAGGCTAGGTGGCCAAAGACTGCAAAACCTCACTCAAGGAGAAAGATCTTGGGGTGAGTATAACACCGAGATGTCTCGGTAGCACCACATTTCAATCAATAAGCTGCAGCATTATGCGGCGCCTGCCAAACCTGGAACAGCTTTCGATACCTTTGTAAGGATTCATGCATGGCACTGTACACGTGTATTATGTCAGGGCCCATACTGGAGTATGCAGCTCCTGTTTGGAAACCCGCAACTGATAAAGCACGTCAAGAAACTAGAGAAAGTACAAAGGTTTGCGTCAAGGTTACGAGTTCCAGAGGCTAAGGGGATGTCCTATGAAGAAAGATTAAGGGAAATCGGCTGTCGACACTGGTGGACAGGAGGGTCAGGGGGACTGATAACGACATCTAAAATACTGCGTGGTGGAATAGAAACAAGGTGGACAAAGACAGGATGGTTCACAGGGAGGGGACACGCTGAAAACAAGAGGCCACAAGTGGAAGTTGAGTCAACAAATGAGTCGAGAGATTAGTAGGAAGTATTTCT